CCCAGCCCTGACGGGTTGCCTTATGAGTATTTTAAAGCTTCCAACACTTCTTCTACCTCATACAGTATGTGCCGGCTCTATAATGGTTTTCTCCAAGATGTCCCTGTTCCCAGTAAAATGCAAAGATCATTTCTAACGCTAATTCCAAAATCGGGCAAGGAATCATACCTTATGTGCTAATTTTCGACCAATTGCCTTACTAAATTCAGATTTGAAAATATTTTACTGAGCTTCTTCCCTATGCTTGAATGTCATTCTCCCATCCTTAACCCACAAGGACTAAGTGGGCTTTTCGTTAAGCGTTAAGGTGAAAACACTAGGAAGGTGACTGACCTGATAGATATGGCAAGGGACAGCTTCTCTTTTACTTTGCCTTGACACAGAAAAGGCATTTGGCCACCTAAGCTGACCTTTTCTTTTCACTACACTACACTTTATAGGATTTAAGGGACCATTTTTGAGGGCCATTAAACACTTAACCTACATTGCAGGTCAAAATGTCTTTTGCACTTTCATCCTCATTCAATGTGTCCAATGGTACCCAGCAGGGCTGCTCACTCTCTCCTTTGTTATTATGCTCTGTGTTGAGCCCTTGGTGTTTTCCACCCATGGGAACCCTGATATCCATGATATACTAGTCAGGGGCAAAGAATTTAAAATCTCAGATGACATCATATTGATTTTAATCCAGAGCAGGCTTGCTTCACCTAACTTGCATGCTGAACTGGAACGCTACAGCAACCTGTCGGGATATAAAATTAATTCAACTAAGTCGGAGGAGCTTCCCATTAACATCCCGTACTCGGAGGTACACCATATATCCAATTACTTTCCATATGCTTGGAAGTCTAGGACTCTCAAATATCTTGAAGTTAATATCACCACATCCTATGATACACCGTATAAAGAGAATTCCCCCCCCCTATATTTAAAAAAAAAAAAATTAGGGCAACTGTAAATCATTCGAAGAAACACCAGATCTCCCTGCTAGGTCGCATTACATCCATAAAAATGTCTATTCTCCCTAAACTCCTGTATTTGTTTCAAACATTGCCAGTTCCTGTCTCTGCCTCACATCTTAAAAAACTACAAATAGATTTACTAAACTTTGTCTGGAATTACAAGTGGCATAGAATACCTTGCACAGTTCTCCTGGCATTGGGGAATGACTGTGACCTTGCATTTCCAAACCTTTTAAAGTATTGTCAGACAGCCCAGTTGTGTGCCGTTGCATCTTGGTCAACACCATACGCCCATACCAAGTGGACAGAAATTGAAAAGCTGTGGTTGGTGCCTATTCATCCTAATAATTCTCTGGAATGCAAATGCAGAGGTAGATTCTAGTAACTTACTTGGGGCAATGGCTCAGCTCCAGAATTTATGATGTGTAATGACTTGATATGATATGTTCTTAAATCTGAAGCCTCTTTAATGACTGTTTTTTGTATAACTCTAGAGTGGCAGACAGCCTGACATTTCTGATGTCTTCCCCTTGGTGTGGAATCTTTTTCACTTTGGCCATCAGGTTGACCCCAGGTCTTGTAAACTCTTATCATTTGATATGCTCAAAGACAAATTTGATCTACCAAGATAGGTGTTTTTTTTTTGGATACTTACAGATCTACCATCATTACCAGACCCTTTGACCCCTTTTGAGAGAATGATCTTAGAGTGTCCCTCTCAAAAGCGCCTAATTTCAGAAATATATAAGGTATTGAATGCCTGTCCTATGCAAGCTCAAGGTAAAACACTCCTATATGCTCAAATGGGAGAGGGTCCTAGGTGAGGAATTTTCCCTAGAGGCATGGCAGATGGTCTGGTCTCAAGAAGCCAAGAGCTCTCTTGGTACTCTTTATAAAAAAGAAAATTTGTGTAAAATACTCCACTTTTGGTACCTGACACTGGACGTCCTCCACACTATCTACCCTACTAGCACTGACTGTTGTTGGAGATGCCAACATGATAAAAGCACACTATCATATTTATTGGAGCTACCCGAAAATAACATCATTTTGAAAATTAGTTCAAGACTTATTACAACATCTTTTTGAAGTACCCATCCCATTTACTGCAAATTTTTCTTGTTGGGCATGTCCTCTCCAAAGCTTGCTAAACCCTATAAAAAGTTGCTACACCATGTGCTCACCGCAGCGAAGTGCCTCAGAGCACTCAGCTGGAAAAAATCTAACCCGCCATCCTCAGTCGCATTGACGGCTAGGTTTTATGGTAAACTAAAGGCCCATAACCAAATATGGGAGTTACGGCATCTTAAAGAAGACCTACCCTGACTCTGTTTACACCTCAGTCTTTGGGTCACTGCTAGAATTCTGGACTGTTTCAGCACTTCTTCTCCTCTCCCCTTTTCTTTCCTTTCTGTTTGTTTTGGTCTTCCTCTTTTAAATCATGGGATACCTTGTATTCAAACTGTTAGAATCCACTCAACCAGCTGAATTGAGGTCAGTACACTCACTATTGAGATGAGATCATCTACTCTGCATTGAAAGTTCCATCTCGGTGTAGCTTTCTGCATGTTCGAGTACGTTAATCCTGGTATTGTTTTATATTTTTGCATCTACTGTATGTGTGCCTGGATTGTGAATTGAGAGCTATGTATTCTGTGTTTGTTTTTTTCTCTCTAAAACATTTAATTAAAAAAAAAGTTAATGATAAAAAAAAGAAAAAAAAGAAAAGACTGTCCAATTTAGATGAAATGTTTAAGTAATGTATGCTGCAATCCAGAATCAAGGATCAAAAACAGTTTACAAAAAAATGTTTTTCTATCCAGAGATAATATAGGGTATATACTGTATACAGAACTCATATGTTCTATGTTTGGTGAGTTCTTTTATGGTATTCATTTTTTTATTTAAACCAGTTCTTTCTCCTTTAATTGTTTCGAAAGCTAACAAATTAAAAGATACATAGTGGATTTGCAATAAATATTTTTAATTATTATATTCAGGTAAAAAAATATAATATTTACGAAAACGTTTGTATAGTCAGGAAAATATTTCATTTAAGTATTTCTCATTTATCCCACCTGACCGGCAGATGGTAAGTGTGGGTCTGGTTCTCCAAGGACTCACATAGATGGTTTACTGCCCAGCTGTGAACATAGTCTCAGTTATATACACACTGAATAAGGACTCCACCACCTCCTCCCCTGTATAGATGAGACTTTAAGATCTTCTCTCTGCAGAAGCAAAAGTTGCAGCACTAGTGCCCGGCTTTCTTATTACATCAGCATGCACTACACACATTGAAACACTCTGCTTCTAAAGTGGAGCTTCAGGATTTATGTATTGGACGGGTCTATTAGTTCACTCATTCTTTCATTGAGTAATGTTTGCTCATATCGAAATCTCATTCTCCCCATCATCTAGAACAATGTCCGTGCTCCATTCACAGCTGAAGCAGAACCTCATCTTCAGGGATTATTTTCCATTAATGATAACCTTCAGTCTTGGACGATAAGTTTCCAGCTGTTTTAAATATTTTCTTCCACCATCTGAAATGGGGTTGTCTATGATCCTAGAAGAGATTATATGAACAGTCATCAGATCTCACACTGTTTCCCAGCATCCTTTAGACATCTATTACACCAACCTGTCTCCTTTTCATTTTTCATACACTTTCATAACTAAGAGTAAACTTTGCGCTATGGAGACTGATGGAGATATCAGACAATAAAACAAGGAATATTCCTCCTCATTGGTCATTTGTTCTGTTTTATCCCACAGCCACCAGTCACACTCGGATTTCACTTTTCCAACTGTCATTCTTCAGGGCAGGAATGACTGTAATTGGTAGCAGTCTGGTAACACAGAGCAGCTCTAATGAATGAGGCTAAATATGAATAATGGAAACAGAAAATAACCGAGGGCAGATCAGGCATAAAAGCTGTCACTGTCTGAACAGCAAGGAGTTATTTGAGATTGTTTTACAGCAGCCAAAACTTGTATATCCTAAAAACCAGCACAATAGGCAGCAATTATTATTGACCTGACGTCACAGATTGGAGAAATGTGAAAGCCTGTAGTCAACCAGGAGTTACCATGCTCACAAGACACCACCAGCAAGGGGAAGAGTTTTTAACTGAAATGTAGGATAATGATTACAATGGAAGTCATACACCAGACCCCAATTCTTCCTCTCAGCTTCCATCTCACTCTTCCCCTCTTTTCTCCATGAGAGACATGAGGAGCAAAGGCTCCAGGAGTAACCAACAAAGAGAGAAGCCCCTAACCATGGCTGGACAATCACCTCACCAGCATGGAAGAGATCTGGGAGTGTACCTGATTAGAGGCAGAAATTGTGCTACATTTTAGTCAGTATCAGGTACATGAGCCATGGTGTATGATGAGGCCAAAAAAGTTAAGAGGCCCTCTACCTCTCTGTCCATAATCTGAAATGCAATTCCACCAGTGATACAGAATCTTTTTTTTTTTTCATTTTATAGCATTCCTGTAGAGGTCATAGCCCTTTAAAAAACTCCAATAAATACAATTTTATAAGGGAAATGTTATAATTTAGAAACACCAATATTACTATACACATGTGAAGATGGTGAGTTCTCCATATTTAGGGATGTAGGCATTATATGCGTACAAGGGATGCCACAGAATAAATTGACATAATTCTAATTGTGCTACTGTACTGGGATTTTTAAAAATTCTATTTATTGTGGCTAAAAAGAGCTTCCCTGATACTAGGGAGATTGACTGACACAATGAATGACAACAATGGTCATATCAGATGACAGGAGGTTCATATGAGCTTTTGATTGCTCATCACAGTAAGATCCTTTTTCCCCATGTATGATAACCTGAAATCTATTTTATTAGTTACCAGACTAAATGAAATGTCAGAATTTACCAAGATTTTAGGAAAATAGTGACGGATATTGTTTGATAACATTGTGTGATAAGATCCAAAAATAAAAAATAGGTCTAGGGTTGGCAATTTATGGACTGAGGAGAGATTTAATACAAATACATTATGTTTTATATTTTTACATATTTTTGATGGTGTCCCAGAATATTATTGTCTCATTCAGTCCCTTAATACTCACAATTCCTCTGTCTTGCTTGTTTTCAGAGCTGCCATCAGATCCCCAAAATGAGGACCCTCCAGATTGTTATATGACAGTCCCAGAGTCCTCAGTGTCTGGTTATTTCTTACTCCAGATGCCAGGTGGGGACAGGAACTGTCTGTCAGGTGATCATGCATCAAACTATAGAAGAAGAGAAGAATGTTACCAGAAGAAAATAATTTCTCCCCTAAGAATAGCAGTCAGCAGGAGGAAAGCTTTTGCTAAGAAAGCCTATGAAACATCAAGCATAGAATGGGACTCATAGACCTAGGCAATACAGTTCCCAGAGGACACTGATGCAGAGGGGGAGTGGTGGAATAATATTTTTTACGGGACCGCTCTAAAAGACGGCTTCCTCTTGGCAGTATGGGAGTCCATGTGACCACATCAGCCTGTGTGCCCTCATCATGGGAAAAGAGACCAGCGGGGACTGGAGCTTAAGGCCTGATAGAAGTGACACAGGGGGCAGCTCTGCACAGATTACAACAATTTCATCCATCTCACCCTTACTGCAGGGAGACTGGAACATCTTCCCACTCTCCCCTCCATCACTTCTAATCATTGAAGCCATCTGCACAAATGCAAGGGTTCCCTTTCCTACAGCAGGAGTCTACAGCAGCACCACAGGGTACTTGTTACACAGTTCCTCTACTGCATGCAATTTATCAAGACTGTTGATAAGTGCATTGGTGCTGCTTATGGGACCCAATTATAGCCAGAAGAAGAACACAATAAAGGACTGCCCCCCTGCAATGTCATTCTACTTGTCCCTATCTACTATTCACTAAAAGGCTACCTCTGACCAGTTAGCCTAGGCCTAGCAGAGTAACCATTTATGCATTTTGGCTGTATAGTTGTAATTCTTCTATGTTACTGTCCATTGCTGCACTCACAGTGATCTTGTTATTGTTTATGCTGATCCTGGTGCATTGTGTTCTCCTGTTCCTACAGTTGACTATTGATCATACTGTATGTTGCGTTGCAAAACTGCTATTGCTAATCCACTTTTATGCCTTTATCGTTACTAATCATAGTGTATTATAATATATTAAGACTTGCTTTCACTAATTCGTTTGGTGTCTATTTCCTGACCCAGCATCATTATTGTGTACCTGGTATTGCCTTTAGTGATTTTTTGTGATATTGCATGCTTTGCTCACTTAACCTAGTGTGTCAAAGGGGCTGAAGCCAGTGAGGAGCTTGAGGCAAAGAACAGAGGACTCAAAAATACATATATGTTAACCACTTGCCCTCCAGATGATTTACCCCCCTTCCTGCCAGGCCATTTATTGCAATACGGCACTGTTACTTTAACTGACAATTACACGGTTATGCAATGTTGTACATAAATTAAATTTATGTAATTTTTTTCCCCACAAATAGAACTTTCTTTTAGTGGTATTTGATTACCTCTATTTTTTTTCTTGCGCTACATGTCTCCCAATAATTGTATATTAATTGGTTTATGTGAAAGTTATAGCGTCTACAAATGGCGGTATATATACTGGAATTTTTTTTTTATACTAGTAATACCGGCGATCAGCGACTTATAGCAGGACTGCAGCGGGGATTCTGACACTGGGGGGAACTGACTTACTGCCATTGACATCCCCAGTGACACTAATACAGTTCTCAGTGCTAATAAAAACACTGTACTAATGACACTGAGCAGGAAGGGGTTAACATCTGGGGCAATCAAAGGTTAGCTGTGTGCTGTGTGTGTTTTACCTAGGACACATGCTGTTTTTTTTATCTCTCTTGTTAAAGCAATAAAGTTATGTAGAAAAAAAAATATGTTTAAAGAGTTAAATTTAATAAAATAAACTAACACCCTCAACAAATTTTACCCCACATGTATATGCCCCATGAGTACAAAAACAATTTATGAGCACATATTATGAATTAAGTGCATTCTGAACCAAGAGAAACAACTCTGGGGGCATCTTTCATGGTTAACGCTAAAGTGATTACCTGTAAAAAATTTTAGCACATTTTGGGATCATAGTTTTTCACTCTTTCATGGACACACAATTTTGAGACTTCATATATTTGGTATCTATTTACTCAATGCAACCTCAGCTTAAGAAATTTAGGATTTTATTGCATTTGTGTGCATCAAATAATTTGAGTGTTTTTTTATTTCTGAAAATATAAATTTGATAAAAATAGTGAAAATATTGTGTGATATAGAAAATTGCAATTCCCACCATTTTATTATACAGGCCTTCTTCCTTCAGAAAAAAAAAATACAGTTTACTATGTGTGGTCAAAATGAAAAAATAGATTTGTGTCCAAAAAGGTAACTAGCAGATGTGACTTAATAGAGAGATCCCCTAACAATAAATTAAGGATGGTCTATGTAAGTCATAGTCAGTCAGATTAGATTCCCCCATGTATGATCCAATTTATTTTACTAAATGTATTATCAGACTTTCATGTGGTTTTAATAAACGATTGTAAATTGCTGGTAACAGAGCATGATAAGATCCAAGAATAAGACTGTCTAGCATTGGATAGTTATAAAGCCTCTCACATTTTGTGTGCATGAGATCTGAAAACACATTTTGATTACATTGTCACATTTATATATTATTTATATGGTTTAGATATAAAGTTTCCCTAGCATATTATTGTCTCAGTCAGTCCTGTTATACTCACTATAATTCCTCTATCTGGCTTGTTGTCAGAGCTGCCATCAGATCACTGAAATGATGACCCTCCAGATTGTTGTATGACAGGTTCAGTGTCCTCAGTGTCTGGTTATTTCTTATTCCAGATGCCAGAGGGGGGCAGGAACTGTCTGTTAGGTGATTGTCGGACAAACTGCAGAAGAAAAGAAGAATGTTATCAGAAGAAAATTTAATTTCTCTAGATGATTTAACTGAAGTTGTATGTATCTCTCCTGTGTTCTTAAGAAGTTATAGAGAGCTGACAATAGGGAGCTGCCAATGGTGAATAGTTGATGTGCAGTAATGGGAAGATCCCCGACACTTAATATTGGTGGTTATATCAGATGGCAAAAAGCTCAAAATGTCTTGATTGCTTATTGCAGTAAGATCAGAGCCCCCAGTGTATGGCCACCCAAAATATTTTTATTAGTTACTAGACTAAATGAAAAAATCTAGTTTTACAAGGTTATTAAAAATAAATGGCTAATAACAGAGTGTGATTCAAGAATTAGACAACAATCTCGGATTAGTGATAGGGATATCAAATATAAGCGCTGATCAAACTGTTGGCGCTATATAAATCCTGTATTATAATAATATTATTAATAATAATGTTGGTATTATTTGATTTGGTTTGGATGTAAAGGTGTATCAGAATATTATCATAGTCATTCCTGTTTTACTCACAGTAATTTCTCTATCTGGCTTGTTGTCAGAGCCGCCATCAGATCACTGAAATGAGGACCTTCCAGATTGTTCCCAGACAGGTCCAGTATCCTCAGTGTCTGGTTATTTCTTATTCCAGATGCCAGGTGGGAGCAGGAACTGTCTGTCAGGTGATTACTATCCAAACTGTAGAAGAAAAGAAGAATGTTACCAGAAGAAAATGATGGTCCTCCCACCTGGAATGTAGCTATTTCTTACATGAATTGAGCTTTATTGGAATAAATTATGTTAGATCACTTTATAAAAACTCCAGTAAATGTAATTTTATAAGAAAAGTGTTATAATGAAGTAGAAGTAGCACCCCAATATTGTCATCCATGTGTGACAATGGTGATATCTACATAAACAGGATTATCCCAGAATACCACTAATATGACCCATATTGTTATCTTCTTGTATATAAAGCATGAATTGTATCAGCAGATAGTGTGAGGCCGGAATCACTATTACTAGTAGGGTGAAGCTTTACGTTTGGTTTGAATCCAGCTTGTTCACAGCTTGGCCAACAGGAAAATAAAATGGCCATTAGAGTAGAGCATTGGGTCAACCATGAGTTCAACTAGAACCCAATATGTTCTCAGTTCACCAAACTGGCAAACAAAATGGCCACAATTGGCCAGTTTGACCACTTGCCTTGACCCAAAGCTGCTGCAGCCAGAAGTTATTCTTTAGTGGCGGTATCACTACTCATACTCATTCACAGAGGGGACAGATCTGGGGGCTACCAGATTCAAGTCTCCTGCACAGATCCAAATATCCACCAGACCAGAGATGTGTGGATGATGCTGATTCCCCATAAGTATAGTGACAAGGTGCTTTGACAAGGGGGCATCTGTTAAGGTTCCCTTCCAGATCCTAAATAAAGGTCTGGTATAGATGTTGAGTGGGATTCCTTGGCTGCTTTGTTTACAAACAAAGCAAAGGTAGACAGGAACTGTCATTTGGCAGCAACGTTTTTTTTATTTTAAATGCCATTTTTGTGTCACAGCTGAATAGCTTTGCTGCTGATCTTTCACTTAATTCCCAAATGCTGGTGCATGTAGTTTCACATCTTTAGCATTTAAGGTTCTGCTGTTACCTGCTATACCGTAATGCCTGGTACACACCATGAGTTTTTTTGTCATTCAACCCATCAACAGAATACACCAGTCAGCGCTAGCAGCCATTGGATACCAGCACTGATCTGATGCCGTTTGAATGCTGGTTTTACAGCATGCCCTTTCAACAGAAGTTGGACATTTGGCCGGCTTCTGTCAGACATGCTTGTGTTTATTGGGTATGCTACTTGTCTTAGAAACCTCATGCACCCCAATTGTATCCTGTATACCTGCATTCTCCATTACCCCCTAGGTACCTTGCTGTTTCTCACACAGACCATTACCCCAACATTCATCTAAGGCCAGCATTCCACTTTTGCAGGATACCTTGTACTCCTATATTACTGTGACCCCATTACTCCTGCTGCAAGGGTCTCTAACTAATATACCTGCCCAGTACTACACTATACTCCTTCCGATTCTGTGAGTTCAGTATTCTTTGCTTTCCCTGATCCTCATCTCTTGTTCTTTGTACCAGTACCTGTACCAGGTTTGCTAAAATTTGCATGGGTGCGAGAAGACCGCCATCCAGTGTAGGCTGCATAGGCTGCAACAAGAGTCAATAATCCCCAACCAAAGGTGACTTTTTGTGGACGTGCATACTACATTTGTGCCACTTCACATGCAGATTTGAGACACTCCCCCCATGATTGGTACATAAACGAAATTGTAATTTTTAATGTTGCCCTATAACTATTTAACTGCCAGAGGCATTTTTACACTTTGTGCACACATGCTTGAAAAATTATTTTAGGCATGAAAATTACATGAAACTCCCAAACATTTTAAATTTTATGAACGCAAACACCCTGGAGAATAAAATAGGGGTTGTTCAATTTTTAAATTACACAATATTAGCACAGTGGTTTAGGAAATGCAAAATCTTAGTGAAAAATACACTAAAGTTAGATTTGGGGCACAAAAAATGCAATAAATTGGCCAATTTTTGGTACCCAAAAGGGCCGGTTCACACCAGAGAGTTGATATATGCTTTAGCTGAGCTGTAAAATGCTAATCAACGAAAGGAAATCTGAAAAACAATTTCCAATGTGTCCTATTGACACCATAATGCTGCACATGCATGTAAGGGACGTCAAAATATATGCCAACGGACATAAGCCACATTAAAACGCATCTGAAAAGGATGGAAAATGTACATGCATTTTAGCAGAAGTCAGTATGAGTTGGCCTCTAATCCTTTAAAATTGCATGCACCTGTGAAATGAGGACAAACTTCAACACCCTATATTTTACATAGGTAACACTTTAATAGGCCCTACAGCTCATCAACTTACAGTTAGAGTAACTGTAAATATTGGGCCAAGAGTTAATGATGATTCTCTGGTGTGCATGGCAATATGTAACCTGTAGCTCAATTATTTTGTGTGTTTACTTTCGTGCATGTGTGAAGTCAAACATTTTGTGGGGGGAGATGTTACATGTTTGGATGTAACTTTCATTTTTTTTTAATAAACTTTTTTTTTTAACCACATAGGGGACAAAAAGTCCCCTATGTGATGCACATTTGGTGACACCCCTGATGTCTCACCTATCCCACAATGAATGTAATAGAGTAAAGATCGTACTCCATTACATTTTTCCCCAGCCATACTAGCTGGGGACAGTGGACCCAGGGACCAGGAAATTATGTTTTACACATCGTTTCTGCATCAGTAACAGGAAGGCGAGATTAGTGAATGGATTGCTGATCTCCTTTCCCTCTACATAGCATCACCCACCATGCTGGTCCCAGGTCTGCAGATGAGCATGCGGAACCTGGAAAATGTGGCAGGGGTGCAAGCAGTAGGGGAACCTCTAGTTATCAGGATGTGTGGAAAGTAATCTGATGACTGCACAATCAGCTTGTCACATTCTCCCGGTGGCTGCAGCATATAAAACCCCAAAAAAACACCTATTGAGTTTCTACATTGGTGGCAGTAAAAGTGATAAACCTTATTAAAAGACATGATTCTCATGGAATCTAGTTTATTATTTATTTTTTTTTCTGTATTGGTACATTTCCTTTGTGGCAGCACCCAGCTACCCATGTCCCTTTTTTCCAAAAGCTTGAAAACTGGCCTTAGAAAAGGTCATAAAACATTTTAAAAGATTCAGCTTCAAAGGACTTAGATACGATTCAGGTGCAATGTCCAGGGTTCATGGATTTAAGGCTGGAAATATAGACCCTCCTATGAATCAAATCCATGCCAGTTTGTTCACCACTACTGACCAGTTCCCCCGCCTGCCCACACTTCCAGCTGATGTATCCAGAAGTCTGTTATTAAGCTGCAGTTTCACTGTTCCCCCTACAAAGTTCTCTCCCAATATTGAGGGCATGTGGTCTGCTATGGTTCAGCTGGGGAATACACACTAACTGACCCCCTTTCCTGGGAAGCCTGGCTGCATTCCTAGAAGCATGACTTTTTTATGAGTGTTTAGGGGGATCCCACCCATTTTTTATTAAAAGGACAGTAAACAGTGGGATTGATTTACTAAAACTGAAGAGTGCAAAATCTGGTGCATGGAAGCCAATCATCTTCTAACTTCTGTTTGTTCAATTAAGGATTTGACAATAAACCTGGAAAATGATTTGTTTCTATGCAATGAATAGTGGATGTATAGTAAAGGGGAGATCTCCTGACAATGAATAGCAAATGTGTAGTAATGGGGAGATTCTCTGAAATGAAATAGTGGATGTATAGTAAAGGGGAGATCCCCTGACACTGAATAGCAAATGTGTAGTAATGGGAAGATCCCCCGACACTGAATAGCAAATGTGTAGTAATGAGAAGATCCCCCGACACTGAATAGTAGATGTGTAGTAATGGGGAGAAACCCCAACACTGATTAGTAGATGGGTAATAATGGGGAGATCCCTTGACATGGAATAGTGGATTTGTAGTAATGGGGAGATCACTTGACACTAAATTGTAAATGTGTAGTAATTGGGAGATCCCTTGACACTGAATAGTGGATGTGTAGTAATGGGGAGATCCCCTGACAATGAATAGTAGATGTGTAGTAATGGGGAGAACCCCCAACACTGATTAGTAGATGGGTAATAATGGGGACATCCCTTGACACTGAATAGTGGATTTGTAGTAATGGGGAGATCCCTTGACACTGAATAGTGGATGTCTAGTAATAATGGGAGATCCCTTGACACTGAATAGCAGATGTGTAGTAATGGGGAGATCCCCTGACATGGATAGTAGATGTGTAGTAATGGGGAGATCCCCTGACACTGAATAGTGGATGTGTAGTAATGGGGAGATCCCCTGACACTGAATAGTAGATGTGTAGTAATGGGGAGATCCCCCTGACACTGAATAGTAGATGTGTAGTAATGGGAAGATCCCCTGACACTGAATAGTGGATGTGTAGTAATGGGGAGAACCCCCAACACTGATTAGTAGATGGGTAGTAATGGGGAGATCCCCCTGACACTGAATAGTAGATGTGTAGTAATGGGGAGATCCCCCTGACACTGAATAGTAGGTGTGTAGTAATGGGGAGATCCCCTGACACTGAATAGTAGATGTGTAGTAATGGGGAGATCCCCCTGACACTGAATAGTGGATGTGTAGTAATGGGGAGGTCCCCTGATACTGAATAAGATGTGCAGTAAATGGGTGATCCCCCAGCAATGACTAGCGAACATGCAGTATCAGAGACAGAATAGCAGGTGGTCATCTCAAGTGAAATGAAGCTCTTTTGAGGCTCTGATGTCTCATTAATGTAAGATCAGATTCCTTCATGTATTACCACCTATAATCTAATCCAATTTAATTGGTTGCTAGAAAAAAAAAATGAATATCAAATTTTATTCCTGTTATCCTTGTGACCAGGCAAAGTTTTCAAGTTTTGATGAGAAGGTAACAGTAATTTTATTTATATATATATATATATATATATATACACACACACCAAAATAAAATATACACTTTTTTTAGAACTTTTGGTTTGGTCTTTAAAATACTCTGAATATATTTTTAATAGGCAAAGGGAAATTGAAAAGGATGTACCGTATTTTTCGCTCCATAAGACGCACCTAAGTTTTAGAGGCAGAAAACAGGAAAAAAAAATTCTGAACTAATGGACTGCAGACATAGTACAGGAAATGACCAGAGACTGCGGACATAGTACAGAAGATGACCAGAGACTGCGGACACAGTACAGGAGATGACCAGAGACTGCGGACACAATGCAGGAGATGACCAGAGACTGCGGACACAGTGCAGGAGATGACCAGAGACTGCGGACACAGTGCAGGAGATGACCAGAGACTGCGGACACAGTACAGGAGATGACCAGAGACTGCGGACACAGTACAGGAGATGACCAGAGACTGTGGACACAGTACAGGGATGACCAGAGACTGCAAACATAGTACAGGAGATGACCAGAGACTGTGGACACAGTACAGGAGATGACCAGAGACTGTGGACACAGTACAGGGATGACCAGAGACTGCGGACAGTACAGGAGATGACTGCTGACCTTTGGGGAGGTGGGGAGCGGGTACCTGAATTTGACAGGTACCCGCTCCCACTTCCGCGGAGTTGTTCTTTCATCTTACCTGTTCCTCTATCCAGCCGCGCGCTGTCTTCCCGGCTTCTGTAATGGCGCTCGGCATGACAGCCGGGTGCCCAGTGCGCATGAGCGATAAGCACTTGCGCTTTGTGATTGGTCCGGCGGCTTCTGGGATCTGTCATGTGTCCCAGGTGCCGCCTTACCATTCACAAAAAGCACCGCTTCTTGCGCATGCGCACTTGGCACCCGGCTGTCATGCCCACACTACAGAAGCCGGGAAGACCGCGCCGCTGGATAGAGGAACGGGTAAGATGAAAGAACAACTCCACGGAAGTGGGAGCGGGTACCTGTCAAATTCAGGTACCCGCTCCCCCTCCCTCCCCAAAGGTCAGCAGTCATCTCTATAAGGTCCCGCTGTAGAGCTGAGCGGCCGGCCCGGTATTCTGACACGGCGGCAGTGGAAATACCGGACCGGCCGCTCCTTATTCGCTCCATAAGACGCACTGACATTTTCCCCCCTTTTTTTTTGGGAAAAAAGTGCGTCTTATGGAGCGAAAAATACGGTAGTTTTATTTTGTTTATTGTATAACATATTTTGTATAAAAGTATATTACTACATTTTTTTTTCAGTTATTTTCTTTCAGGTTAATAGATAACATTTAGAGGTTAAAAATTCAGCATGCTTGAAAAATGGTGAAAAAACAAAGATACCCAAAATTGTACATGGGTGATTCATTTAAAACAGCTACAGGTCATCAATGCAGATTTAGGTCTCATGCAAACATTTTCTAACTCTCCCAAAAGCCTTTCCTCCTTGCAGCAGTCCCACAAAACTGAAAAGGTGCTTCGATGGTCAAAGGCTAACTTTTTACTGCATAGTAACTCAGCCTCCACTATGTTCGCCCGCAAGCTTGGTCAGTCGTTACGTCCTCCTCGTGTATAAATTGCGTAATGACAGGGGGCATGTCGGGGGCGTGGCTGACAGCGGATGGAGACGGCTGCTCTGTGAGAGAGCTCCGGGAGCTGCCGAGTTCCGTAGGGTACCGCAGCGATGGTTGGCAGCGGGAAAACCTGCCAACACTACAGTAAGCCCTCTGAGTGAGGGGGCACAAAGGAGGAATAGTGGGGGGAAAAGAAAGAATAAAGAGGGGCCCCGCAAATTAACGGAGTTCTTCACTCCAGCGGGTGGCCTCTCCCCTCAGTATGGCACTGGTCACTGTCCCTCTCCAGAGCTACAGGGACATGTGAGGGGGGATAGACACAGCTCTCCCCTGCACACATCCAGCCCTGCAGTGACTGCAGGCTCTGCAATATCCTCACCTTCAAACAGCCCACAGAAGCACAGACAACATTGCTCCACAGATGTGCATTCTCTGGTGAGCAGTCTAATACAAATTTATTTTCACATAATTCTACAAATGAATTTATTGAACACCTGGAGGATTACCCCGCAGAGTCCTTACCCCTTTCTGCGGCAGTTATGAAAGATATGTTAATTACCCTCAAAGGTTCCCTGCATAAAGATATGATGGGATTTGTGACGCAAGTTAACAAGGATGTTGAATGTTTAGGTGAGCGGGTAACACACGTGGAAACCAAAATGGGTGAATTCGCTAACGCTCACAACAAATAGTTGACGCACACAACGAGGCAGAAGAAGATCTGAGAGCTTTAAAGGTGAAAATGGCAGACCTGGAGGACCGCTCCTGCAGAAATAATGTAAAATTCAGGGGCATTGGAGAAAATGTACCTGCTGTGGATCTTCGCAAATATATCCAACAAATTATCTCTGCACTACTACCACACACTCCGAATAGGGAAGTAGTGGTGGATAGGGCCCACAGACTGCCAAAGCCCTCCTTTCTCCCTGATCACATTCCCAGAGATATAATAGAGAATTCACTTTTACCACGTCTAGGAGGAATTAGTACTGTTCGCTCGAAAAATTAATTTTGCTCCCTGTCCCCTACACTGGGATCTCTTTATTCACTGATCTTTCACAACATACCATACTAGCCCGCAAAAAATGCTCTCCTTCATGAAATTTCTACGCAATAATGATATCAAATATCAGTAGGGTTTCCCTACCAAATTGCTTATCACCAAAGACAACCGTGTGATCACGGTCAACTCTAAAGAAGAGGGATTCCAACTAGCTAAAAAATGGGGCCCCCTGCCAACAGATGAAGCACCAGCGCCTACTAAAGCTTCGCGCAGGAAAATAACCCCTGACTGGGAACAGGTAGCAGGATGATGTGTCTTCTCGTAACTCCCCTATGCTGCCTAGCTCTTTCTGCCTACCCGCTGTGCACTTGGACAGCAATTTATTAAGCTGCGCCTCTCGGCATTGAACCCCCATCCATTATAGTGATTAATTTCATACAAAGTTACATGTTAACTGTTATTTTTGTTTTTCTCCAATTTTTTCTTTCCTTTTTTTCAATCTTTATTTCACAGACCCTCCTTATCAGCAAATTATTGGAAAATTACATATCGACTTCCTCTCACCCTAAGTGGATGAAACCCTTTTCTCTTCGCTGGAACATCTTGGTCATTGTAAGCCTACCCATTTGGATTATCTCCGTTATCATGCACTTCCTACTTACACCACATGAGGGCAACCCTTTATCATTTTTTCTAAACCCACCATGGTCCTGAAAGTACTTTCTATGAATGCCCATGGCCTTAACAGCTAGTTTAAAGGCCATTCTATGTGGAGAGAGGCACAGCGGTTGGCTGGTGATGTGATTTGCATCCAGGAAACTCATTTTGCATCCACTAAAGCACCACACTGTACACACCGTATGTTTCCACCAGGGGCGGACTGACCATTTGGAAACTTGGGCACTACCCGAGGGCCCGGGTTCTGTAGGGGGCCCCATGAGATGCCCCTGGTACCTTTTTCATAGGCCTTTTTTGAGTTTGGGCAAGGACACAGGGGCCCCATGATCCCCTATTGCCCGGGGGCCCCATAAGTTGTCAGTCCGCCCCTGGTTTCCACATATTTATATGTCTAATAATCCTGATAAAAAATGTGGTGTCCTTATAGCTGTTCGTAATTCTGTTGCATTCTCGTTGCTATCCCAAGTGTCCCAAGTGTCTGATAGCAAAGGTAGATATCTAATTATTGTTTGTGAGATTAATAATATCATCTATACTATTGTCAATCTCTATGCTCCCAATGTACATCAGATCCACTTTCTAAATTCTCTGCGGAAAAAAGTGTATAAAATTCAGAAGGGCTTATTATTCTGTGGAGACTTTAATGCTATTATAAATAATTCCCTAGATGTTTCACACTCTTCTCACAGCTTGAGACACTCTCTAGCTAATGTTCTATCTGAGGCCAATCTGTATGATTCCTGGGGATGTCTACATGCATCTGAAAGAGACTATATGCATTATTCTGCACCCCCACAAATCTTACTCGAGAATAGACTTCTTTTTGACAGATATTCAATTATTACAAAATGTCTCCAGCGCTGAAATTCATCCAGTGACATGGTCGGACCATGCACCTATCTCTCTAAGCATTGAGGAGTCCTTAAAATTTCCCCCAGTGTTTTTATGGCTTAATGATATTTCTATGTATTTTAATCCTGCCTTTCGTTCCACTCTCACTACAGCCCTACAAGAATATTTTGATATTAACTCCTCCCCTACTACAAATGTATTTAGTACATGGTGTGCCCACAAAGCATACTGTAGAGATTTACTTTAGAAACTGGCCTCACAGGCGAGGCGGGATAGGAACAAAACATTCTCGGATACAGTTGACAGGATAACTAGGCTAGAACAACTCCACAAACAATCCTTATCTCCCACTGTATTGCAGGATCTCCAAAAAGCTAGACTTGAGCTTAGGACCATTATGTCATGGCAATATGCTTTAAACCTAAAAAAAAAAGCTAAGACTACATTTTGCACGCAAGGGAACAAAGCGGGTAAGATGCTTGCGAGATACCTTGCTACTAGACAATCTAAATCCAAATTAGCATCAATCTTGGATCCTGTGTCGAACAAACCTACCTATCACCCCAATAAAATAGTGGCTGCGTTCTGCTCCTATTATTCCCAATTATATAATCTCAAAGAGGATCCTACCACTCCTCAACCTACCCCAGAGCTGATCCATAAATTCTTAGATAAACTACCATTGCCTAAATTAACACGTCAAAAATTGGAAGGACTCAATCAACCCATCCTGGAAAGCAAGATAAGTGCGGCTATTAAAGCCTTGCCTAAAGGAAAATCCCCGGGGGCGGACGGCTTTGCAGCTGAATACTATAAGGAATTCCAATCCATTTTAGTACCTCATTTAGCCAGATCAAGTGTTTGGCTGTTAATTAAGCTCATCAGCCAGAATAAATAATTTATTCTGGCCATTGAAATTAATTAATGCTCAAGCATTAAGGATGCCTAGTGTGAACAAGCATTTAGATGAGTTTACACGTTTGAGAAGTCAAGCATTTTTCTGTCAAAATTCTGCTGTTCCTAGAAGCACTGGCAGGTTTTTTTTTCCAGCCTTTAAACGTCTATGCCTCTAAACTCCATTAAAATTTTGTGTGCATGGTTACATAAGCTAACATGCAGGGGAGTTTAGAGGCAGGAAAAAATAATGCCAGATGCCCCAAGACGCAGCTGAAAAAACATCAAGTGTGCATAAGACCTTTAACTTAAATAACTCCTCCAAGTGTATCTCCATTCTGAATGCCTCCGATGGAAAGCTAGAATAGAGATAAGGGGATGATGGAGTTGCTGCACAGAGGGTGGGAGCTCTTGATCAAAGATGTAAAAGTGATAAGGTGGCTGTACATCCACTCAGATCACTTCTGTGGTAATCTAAATAAGGCAGAGGCACAAAAAATTTAGCAGCCTTTTACTGCTCCAACGTAGTGGTGGTGGGGGGCAGTGATCAGATTAACCAATTTCAATTAGAAAAGATACTGATCAAATCCTACAGTCCAAAGCAGTCTGTGGCTTTTCCATGGAAATCAAGGTGCTGCAACTACAAAGCTTAAATGTTTTTTTAACTGTTCTTCCAACACTGAGCACTATCTAAAATAACATTTATATACAGACTATTAAATGGCTGAGAACAGCACGTGATAAAATCTAATAATTAGAATCAAGTCTAGAATTGGCTATTTATATCTGAAGATATACTGTACATTGATTACATTATCATATTTAAATATTATATATTGTTTATGTTGTTTGAGACATTTTTATGCAATACCAGTTTTACATCAGTCAGTCCTGTTATACTCACTGTAATTCCTCTATGTGGCTTGTTGTCAGAGCTGCCATCAGGTCACAAAAATTAGGACCCTCCAGATAGTTATCAGTCAGGTCCAGTGTCCTCAGTGTCTGATTATTTCTTATTCCAGATGCCAACTGAGGGCAGGAACTGTCTGTCAGGTGATTATTCCACAAACTGTAGAAGAAGAAAATGTTACCAGCAGAAAATGAGTTGCATACCCAAGAATGAATGTAAATATTCTCTACATACAATAGAACTACTTTTTCTTTATTGGAATTATTTATGTTTGTAGCCACCCTGTCAGAGGTGTCTAGTAAATGTAGCTTTCCGTACAGTAATCTGCTCAGGCCAATTTGTAGTTTTCATCACTTGGTTTCTCCCCTAGGTTGAGGGTTGCTGCTGTTCCCTGTTGCTGCCACTGGGTGTCACTTGCACTCAGACAATAGTCATGGGGGCGGTAACAATCTTAAACTGTTGAGCATTTATGTCCTTTCTGATAACCACTAGAGGTTCATGGCCAGTGGTACATGCTGGGGGAGGTTATAAATCAGAGGTGTTCAACCTGCAGCCCAAGACAGCTATGAATGTGACCCAGCAGAAAATCATAAACATGCTTAAAAATGTTGATTTTATTTATTTTTTTAAATGCTGAAGAAAAGTTTTACATTGTCTCTTTAATGGCCTTTTATAAGTTTTATCTGCCCAAAGAAAAACATGCCACTCTTTACAATCACACCTTATTCATGTCATCAGTTTTCTGCAGCACCTTTATTTGTGAACAACTATTTTTAATGATGGAGCACACAGAGGGCAAAATTAGCACCTTGAGAATTCATGGACAATTACTACTACATCCATTGAACCGGATAGTGATGCGTTAGTTTTACAAAAACATTGTCCAATACACAAGTTTTATGTCGCCCTCTTTTACTTTTATAATAAAACATTACAAAAAAAATTAAAGTTTTATTATTCAGAAAGTAAAAAGATTGGACACTCGTGCTATAAATGCTTGGGGAATGGCCTAAAGAGCTCTTTTCCCCCTGGCTGAGGCCCAAGGAGGGTGCATGCAATTGTAGATTGTAGAACCAGTTCTGCTGGAGGGGGAGTGGTGTCTACCCTCAGAGGATCCTGGCACTACCTTGGATAGAGGAGAAGGTTTAGCAGAGTCTGGAGCCCTGTTGCCAGAGGAAACCTGTAGCCTGACCCTCTCTCCCTGTGAGTTAATAAAACTTGAGAAAAAAGACTAAAGTGACTGAAGCCCATAATTGCCATGACTATCTCCACTGTGGCTATGGACAAACTCTGGTGTAATGTCAGCCCTCTCCCTGACCTGGAGGCAAGTTATCCTCTACCCTATCCAGAAGGGGCGATGATTTTTAGATAACCTATAAAACTTCAGTAAATATAATTTTATATTCAATGTTATAATGGAGTAGACACACCAATATACATGTGTAGACAGGTACTGGTGGTTCAGCCCCTTTTAAAACTTCTAAAGACTGCTAATGTAGAGCAACAGGCTCAGACATGCCTTTCTGCTATTTCTCCATGAGTGTTATAAGCCCTTCCTTCGTTGGGCAGCATCAGGTTATGGAGGAGGAAGTGCTGCTGATGAGGATTGAGGAAAAGGTAGTGGTGGTGTTGATCCAATGCTGGAAAAGACTACAGTTCCCAGGAGGCCATGGTACCAGATGGAGGATTGGAGGGATTTATAGTGCACTTCCCAGGAAACGTTTGGGGGCAAATGGTGCTAGCACATTGAAATGTACTGACCTCTGGGGTAACATGTCCAGCCAACCGGGGTCTCTGTTAGTAAGTAACATTGCTGCACCTGCTGCTTATTGGTTCCAGCACACTTAATGGTTCCAGCAAGCAAGTGGGTTTGCTGGTTATCAGCAGCATTCCTTTTGTGGGTTTGTTTAAACTCAAGTCATTGATCCATGAGGATAATTTATACACTCTATGGCAGGAACTGAGTCTTCTAACTGTCACCATTTCCATACTCTCTCCATCCCTCCTGGGTTAATGTTCACCACAGGTAAACCATCTTAAACTGACATCCTAACATCCACTCAGGATTACCCTACTATACTGAACTGACTCTATATTGGGTTCTCCACTGTTCCTTCTTATCGATTATGGTCCTGTTCAATCTACCACTACAAAGCACCCCTGTACCAAAAAGTTATTTGTCCTGTTGTCAATTTTATGATAAAAAAATCTATACATTTCTAGCCTTAATATATGAGATTTACATTTCAACTGTGTTGTTGTCCCTTTTCTTGACAAAAGGTTTAGATAAACCTTAAATTAGTAGTCGCGGTATCAATATACAGTTGTGCTCATACCCTGGCAGAAATCATACTGTACAATCTTAGCATTTATATTGAAAATATGACTGATCATGACTGATCTGCCTTTTATTTAAGGATAGTAATCATATGAATCCATCTACTAGTGTTGCACCGAATGTTCAAGTCGAACCTAAGTTCGACTCGAACATTGACTGTGTGTGTGTTCGCTGAACACACAAACAATACCAATGTTTGGCGGGCTGTTCACCCACTGTGCCCCACAATGCACTGTGATTGGTCAAAGCAATGCACCTGACCACAGGTCCGGTGCAATGCTTTGACCAATCACAGCACAGGATGATTTCACACTGATGACATCATGACAGTATTTAAGAACTGTCATTGCGGTGCAGCTGTCAGAGGGCCAGGAGACAGGATCGAGAGCTCCCCTTAATTATTTACGAATTGTCAGGGGGTGGAGCTATCAGATGGCGGGAGCATTAGTTGGGAAAGGAGCCTTTTTTTCTTTTTTTCGGGTGGGCAGTGGCGGCGGGCATCGTGACTGGCATTGGATCTACATTTTTTTTTTATTTTCAATAATGGACTTGTCAAAGACTGTCTCCTGTCATTTTTACACTACAAATTTTTTTGTGAATGGGTAGTGGTATCATATACCACATACTCATTCATATGGGGGAGCTTAAAGGGAGCTTCCAGATTCCAATAAGCCCCCCGCCTTGCAGACCCCCACAGCCACCGACCAGGGTTTTGGGGAAGAGGACCTTGTCCCCCTCAACATGGGGACAAGGTGTTGAAAATGAATCCCTCAAAATCAGAGATATTAAATATTACAGTTTCAAAGGTAGAAAAACAGAGCTTACAGAAAGCCTTCCCCTTTGTCTGGAAAGAGAGAGAATTAAGTTACTTAGGAGTAAAGCTGTCAGGGCAGGAACGCTGGAATGGGCAGGCAGGCCTATGGTATGGTCACGCTGCGACTGACGACAGCCACTACCCACAAACCAGAGTCCCTCAGGGCGCGGAGTCTAAGCCCCAGGCTACCCTTCACCAGGGCCCCTGATGGTGGGGATGGACTTGACGCAGCCTGAGACCAGGTCGCGGCCCCCGAGTGACCCCAGCTGCGATAACGACTGCCGCCAATGGTGTACAGCTGGTGGGAGCTAGATGGGAACACGAGTAGAGTAATCAGACAAGCCGGGTCAATAACAACGGAGCAGACGGTACTAGACGGTAGGCAAAGAATACTCAGGTCACGGGCCGGGTTCAGCAACGGAAGGTCAGGTAAAGGGTTAACGCAGAGAGTAGTCTTGTCCAAGCCGAGTCGGTTACCAGGAGAGCAATGGGAACAACACAAGAGCTTGCAACAGGGCAACATACAGGACACAAGTGCAGAGCACACTTGCAGACAGCAGGTTTAAATGTGCTCAACCACACCCTTCTGAGGAGGAGCCGCAGAAGCCTGAAGGCATAAAGGTTCCCACCATGCTTTGCAGAAAACCAAGATGGATGCCAGCTCATGGAGATGCACAAGCTCTGAAGAAAGGTAGGACCTTGACAAAAGCTTACCCCTTCCTTGAAAAACCTCTATCAAATAAATTGTATTCCATTAATAAATGAACTAAAGGAAGAATTAAGTAGAATAGCTATAGGGTCACTCTCATGGATGGGACGTATAAATATTATAAAGATGGTGATAGTTCTGAAGATCCTATATAGGTTCCACTTGCTTCCAATATATTTGCCGGAGTCCTTTTTTAAGATTATAAGGAAGATAAGTAAAATTGGGCAAATAAAAAAAACAAGGGCTAGTTACAAAGTATGATGTAGAGATAAAGTTAATGGAGGTTTGCCGGATTTTAGGTTCTGTGTTGATCTCACAAATAGTGGAGTGAATGCAAAATGCAAAAAGTAAAAATTTGGGTAAAAATAGGAAATACATTAAGTGGGTCACAGTTAGATAAAATAATATGGCTTCCACAACAACACCAATATTTTTCAGAAAATATAAGCACTTTAACACGGAATGTTTTAAGAAAATGGGATGGAATTCATAGGCAAATGAGATGGGAGTATAATTCACTATTAATACTGTTGAAAGGAACAGATTTTTTTCCGCCGGGGAAAGAGGGTATTGCAGGGAGATGTATAAAAGACAAAAATGCATGTTTGAAGGATATCACTAAAAATCGGGAGTTATGTCCTTTTTCAGAATTAAAAAATAGGAAGGATTTATTTTGTAGGTTAGATGAGTGGCGGTATCATCAACTGAGGCATTTGGTAGTGACTCTTCTACAGCCATTAAGGACATTGGAGAGCATGTACCCATTAGAACTTTTTTTAATCAAGAAACAGCACGTAAACATGTAACTTCTCGCATTTATAAGATGTTTACTAATATCTCAGGATCTGTATCGCCACTGTATCTGGAGAAATGGGAAAAAGAACAAAATTGGAGGAGCAAGATAAAAAGAAAATATTCAGATTGACACACTGTGCTGTAAATATGAATATAGTAGAACTGAACTATAAATGCTTAGTAAGATGGTACTGCACACCTAGTGTAGCACATAATCAACAACCACAGAGTTCACCTTTATGTTGGAGGGGGTGCGGGATTGAGGGAACCATGGTACATATATGGTGGGAATGCCCAAAAATCCAAGAGTTTTGGCAAGGAATAAATTCAGGAGATAACGAGAACTGTAATACTGAACAACCCTTGGGCCTGTGTATTTCATAATGTGGACTTTACAGTAAAGCAATAGTAAAGCAATACAAGAACATGGTAATATTTAATTTAATAGATGCAGCCAAAGGTCTGATTCCGAGATTTTGGCAGGGCAAAGAAATTCCCAAAATAAAAGACTGGATTAACACAGTGGAATACATATACAGGATGGAGGAGCTTTACCATATTTAAGAAGAGGATAAAATTAAAAAATTCAGAAAAACCTGGGAGAGTTAAATAAGCTATAAAACAACTAAGAGTTATGCAGAATTGAAAGGAATATGAGGGGGAAAAGTGAAGTTTCCCATTTACTTTATTGAATACACTTGAGAGGAGGGGTAGGAAGTGGTGGATGGTTGATAGAGGTTACTAGAAGACCTGGGTGACCTAGAGGAGATGGGCGGAGGGTGGGAAGGAGGGAGAGTGAGAAGGATTTTTGTAAAAAATATTTTGATATTGGAAATGTATTATTGTAATATCTGAATAATGTTATGTTTTGAAGTTTAACAAAAGATAATATAAAAAAAGACTTCCGTTAAATTGCTATAGACATTCTAATGGAGGTCAAATAAAAAGTTCAATTAAACTATTACATACCATTTACTATTACATAGTTGTTTGGCTCCTTTTTAAATCTTAATGATAACAGAAATCACCCAAAATGGTGCTGATCAAAAGTTTACATACCCTGGAATGTTTGTCTTTGGTAGAGACACAAGGTAACACACACAGGTTAAAATGGTAATATATAGTCACTGAGTTTTTAGCTCTTATGTGGATGCACTGAGCGGGATAGATACAGAGCCATGGGGAGCAGAAAAGAACTGTCAAAAACACCTGCGTAACAGGGTAATAGAACATTATAAAGATGGAAAAGGATATGAAAAGATATCCAAAGCCTTGAATTTGCCAGTCAATACTGTTCAATCACTTATTAAGAAGTGGACAATTTGGGGATCTGATACCAAGCCAAGGTAAGGTAGACCAAGAAAGACTGCAGCCACAACTGCCAGTAGAATTCTTTGGGATACAAAGGAAAACCCACAGGTAACCTAAGGAGAAATACAGGCTGCACTGGAAAAAGACAGTGTGGATGTTTGAAGGAGCACAATACGAGAATACTTGAACAAAAATGAGCTGCAGTTCGAGTTACCAGAAAGAAGCCTTTACCGCACCAATGCCACAAAAAACCCCTGTGAGGTGTGTCAAGGTGTTGTCAGGCAGATTGTAACCAAACTTTTTTGTGGCAGAATCAGCATTTCTAGTGATTGGATAGGATGATTATTATCTGCTATTTCCTTTATCTCTATTGACAATTGTTCTGTACTCATAGGAAGAAAAAGAGAGATCCACTGCCACTGAATAGCAAATGTGCAGTAATAGGGAGATCCTCTAAAACACAATAGTGGATATAAAGTACTGGAAAGACCCAACACTGAAGAGAAGATGGACGTGCAGCAATGGCTGATAGGGAGCTTGCATGAGGCTCTGATTTCTCATTGTAGTAAGATCAGATTCCCTCATACAGTATATAAGCACCTAAAATATAATTTTTTTTTTACTGGCTACAAGGCAAAGCAAAGTATCAGATGTTAACAAGGTTTTAGGAAAACATTATACCATGACTGATAAAAGAGTATGATAGGATCCAAGAATTAGATAGCTGTCTATGATTGGCTATTTATGGAGTCTAAAGATGCATTTTGATTTAATGATCTTCACTCAATGCTGTTATACTCACCATAGTTCTTCTATTCGGCTTGTTGTCAGAGCTTCCATCAGATCACTGAAATGAGGACCCTCCAGATTATTAGAAGACAAGTTCAGTCTTCTTAATGTCTGGTTATTTTTTATTCCAGATGCCAAATGGGGACTGGAACTGTCTGTCAGGCAATTATCATACAAACTGTAGAAGAAAAGAAGAATGTTAACAGAAAAAAAATATTTTCTCACACATGAAAGGATGTAACTATTCTCTACACGAATGGAACTCATTTCTCTGTATTAAAATAATTTACTGTATATTTAATATACTGTATATAGGACCACTTTATGAAACTCCAGTAAATATACTTTCACAGGAAAAAAACACTGATGAAGCAGACACCCCAATATTCTCATCTATGAGCAGAGACTTAGATATCTCCATACACAGGACTGCGACAAAAAAAACACCACAGCATTCACATTGTTCCATAATTAATTGTATTTGGATGCTGAGGCCAGACTCATTCTATTGTATGAGCTGGATCATTTGCTCTGGCATGCAATCCACACCTCTTGATAAGAACTCTACGTAATGGGGAAACTTCCCCCAACACTGCAGGTATGCAGGGGTAGGGAGATCCAGTCCACTGAATAGATGTGTAGTAATTTGGACAGGTAATCTCACAACACAGAATGGTAGATGTTCAGTAATAAGGAGATCCCACAACACTTAATAGAGAATGGCCAAATGAGAAGTGTATATTGTAGGGTGCAATAGAAGGGAGTTCCCCCAACACTGAATAGAAGATGTGCAACAGTGGGGAGATTCCACTGACAATGAATAGGGGGTGTTCAGTTATGGGAAAATCTCTTGACACTAAATAGAAAATGTACAACAATGGAGAAAGACTGATGATGATTAAAGGATGCATGTTAATGGGGAGATCCCCTGACATTGAAAATCTCATGGTCATGTTGGGTAGGACAGGAAACACATATGAGGCTCTGGTTGCCCATTGCAGTAAAATGAGATTCCCATGTGTATGACCACCTATATTCCAATAAGTAGACCACTGTCTGGAATTGACTATTTAAAAGGGATAATGTGTTGATACTGAGTTCTGACAGCCCAAGACTGTGCACAGAAAATTAGAACATTATGCTGAACACAAGGCAGTCAGTGACAAAATGGCCAGCCTAAATCTTATGTCTGGGGTGGATTTTTAGATGATGGAGTCATGTAGTAAATGCCTGGTCAAAAATAACTGTAAACGGTCTAGTGGTGGATATACCTGGAGCTAGTGACCTGTAATGACATACCGATAAATTGTACAGAATGAGGTTTTATTCATTTTCCATAATACCTTGAGTTATAATCATAAAAAAGGATTACACTGATGTATGAGAAGCTGCCAATCAGTTAGATACTAAATATGCTATCATAAAGTGTCCAGCAAGCAAATGGATCGCATTTTATCTAAAACTCAAATCTAACTTCCACTAAAAATACATGAGGGCCCGGTATGGATGTCAAGGAGGATACCATGCAAAAAAAAAAAAATAAAATGTGGTGTCCCCACCAAAATCCATACCAGTTAAAGCGTGCAGCCTGGCAGGTCAGGAAAGCGGGTGGGGAGAGGAGAAGTTGAGCCATAACTTGGTATACTTGAATTTTGAAAAAGCGTTTGACACAGTTCCCCACACACTGCTAATGTGTAAGGCAAAGTCTACAGGCTTGGAAAAATCCATATGTAAATGATTAGAAAACTGGCTAAAAGATCGTATTCAGAGAGTAGTGGTTAATGATTCATACTCTGAATGGTCTAGGGTTGTCAGTGGTGTACCCCAAGGTTCAGTGTTGGGACCCTTACGTTTAAATATATTTATAAACAATATAGTGTCTGGGATTAAAAAAAACATTTCAGTCTTTGCAGATGACACCAAGCTGTGCAGTGGAATAACGTCCTTAGAGGATGTCTACAACTTACGAGCCGACCTCAATGCACTGTTTAATTGGGCAAATGAGATTTAATGTTGATAAATGTAAAGTTATGCACTTGGGAGCTAAGAATATGCATCATACATACTAGGGGGGGTACAACTGGGGGAATCAATGGTGGAGAAGGATCTGGGGGTTCTGGTAGATCACAAGCCTAATAATGGCATGCAATGCCAAGCTGCGGTTTATAAAAAGTGAGCAAAATCCTCTCTTGTATTAAGAGGTATAGACTCCAGTGAGAGAGATATCATATTACCCCTGTACAAATCATTAGTAAGACCTCATCTGGAATATGCAGTTCAGTTTTGGGCACCAATTCACAAAAAGAACATTGGGGAACTGGAGAAAGTACAGAGAAGGGCAACCAAACTGATAAGAGGCATGGAGGAGATCAGCTATGAGGAAAGATTAGAGGCTCTGAATTTATTCTCTCTTGAGAAGAGGAGATTAAGGGGGGATATGATCAACATGTATAAATACATCAGTGGTTCATATAGTGAACTCGGTGTAGAGATATTCACCTTGAGGTCATCACAGAGGACAAGGAGGCACCCTTTACGTCTGAAGGAAAAGAAATTTAATCTCCAAACACGGAAAGGATTCTTCACAGTGAGAGCTGTGAAAATGTGGAATAGACTCCCTCAAGAGTTGGTTGTGGCCAGCTCAGTGGATTGATTTAAAAAAGGCCTGGATTCTTTCTTAGATACACAGAATATAACTGGATACTAACATTTATAGGTAAAGTTGACCCAGGGAATATCCGATTGCCTCTTGGGGGATCAGAAAGGAACTGTTTTCCCTTGCGGGAGCAAATTGGATCATGCTTAGCTGGGTTTTTTTGCCTTCCTCTGGATCAACTGTGGGTATAGGATTATAACTTTTTATTTTTTTAATGGTTGAACTGAATGGACTTTTGTCTTTTTTTCAGCCAGACTAACTATGTAACCACATATTGCAAAATATGTTTCTCTTCCCTTCTCCTTATATGATTCTTCTTAATAAAATTAAGTTTTTACACTAGGGAGTGCTTCCCTTGTTTTTTCTTTTGTTTCTCCTTGCTACTTTATTTGATGTTCAGTTCCTGCCAAATGAGAAAAAAGTCTAGCGTTTAGGAGAATGCCTAAACAAGCAAAGTTCAGTCTGAATCGAATGCTCATTTGTCCAAGCTTTGACATTTGCTTTGTGACTGCAGCCACAGGCATCAGAACCCTGGGTTGTAGGCACCATCTTGGCTGATACACATGCAAGGCCTTCTGCAATAGGCTTAGATTTTTGCCTGTTAGCATTATAAGCATATCTGCAAGTAGAAAATGCTGCTTTCTTATGGTTGCAATGCCATTTCTGCTACAGGTGGATGCAGCATTACCCAAAGTGAGCAGCATATACTACTGTGTGCAAGCAACCCCTATCTAGATATTCACTTTAAAGGACAAGTAAACCTAAGAGCAAAAAAGAAGTATATTGCAGCTTGCCAGTGGCGTTGCTATGGGGGCACCAGAGGGGTAACACCAGGGGTGGCAGGGCCATTGATAAGGGTGTACAGCTGGCTCAAGCAGGAGAGCTAGCTGTACTGCCTTGTGACTCCTGTAGATCCCCTTGAAGTGCTGTTGGCTTTCTCCCTCTGGCTGCTCTGCAGAGGGATCGGTTGTAAATACTTCCAAGTGTGGACAGCTGCAGAGTCTTTTCCTTTGCCTTGGCCGGGTTCTGAAAATCTTAACCACCCATCCTGCGTGTGGTCGGCAGTATTCTCTCTTGCCAGCATGATAAAAGAAGATGTTCTCTGTTCTATCTCCTCCTGGAGTCTTTCTCTGCCTCCCTCCACAGCATGCTCAGTGTGCACTGTAACCTACAAAGCTGGCTGTAGGGCTTGAATGGAGTAGTGCTTCTGCTGTAGGGGGTATGAGTGTTGGAGGGGGATTGGTGCTGGAATGGTTTAGGATTCAGAGAGGGGGTGAATGTGCCAGGAGCCAGCCTAGAACTACAAGTAGACACTAGCGGCCACTGCAGTGCTGGAGATAGGGATCGGTGAATACACCTCTCCCTCCAGCTGACGGACATCTCTGCCCAGCCATGTCTATAGACCACCCCTATGGCCCCATTCACACTTCGCTTAGCGTTTTTTAAACATAGAGCAGTTCATTCACTTGAGCGCATAATTTACATGGACCTGTTTGCACTGCCAGCTCGAAAAATGATTGGGGGTGACACTATGTTTTTATCACACCAGGTGACTCCAACCCTAATGACGCCATTGCAGATTACTAGTCCATAGATGTGGTAGCTGTATTCATTTTTATTTTCCAGGCAACAAACATTTTCAGGAGTACAGAAAAATACTTGAATTTACCAGAAATTAAGTCTTTTTCATTTCTCCTGAGCTGAACAGAAAGTGAAAAAAAAAAAAAAATCTTATCTTCCATTTACAAACTGCTTATTCCATATCCATTGTGTTTTGTGCTTTATTCATAGGATGTGTCTATGTTTCCTCTTTTTTTTTATTCTTGTAACACCCCCCCCCCCCATTTACCTTCATAATTCTAGAGGAACAAAATCTCCTTAACTGAGATTTTTAATTGCAAACAAATTGCAAGTTTCAACTTATTGGAGGCAATTCACTAAAGGTTATCACATGCGTTATGTCAGTCACGTGACCACATATCTCATGCAATACTGAAAATGTCAATTAACTATTACTAGTATGCGGTATTTATCTCAAGTAGAAAAATGTTTGGTAAATACCGAATAAAAAGACATTAAAGTCAATTCACAGAGGAAATAAATAATTAAATGCATGCGGTAATTAACCCCTTTACGCACACAAATGTGAGGCCTCCCGGCGTCTGGGCCTAGACGCCGAGCAGCCGCACATTTGCGTTCAGGTAAGAAATAACATATGTGCTGAGAGCGCGCGCCCTGCGCGCTCCCAGCACACATGTCCGGTACTCACGGAAAGGTCCCAGTCTGCTCTTTTGATCGGGACCTTACCCGATCATGTGACTGCCGTGACGACGCGTCGCGGCAGTCACATGATCCCTAAACCACGCCCCACCTCCCGGCTTCTGAAACTCTTATAGGGCCAGGAGGCGCCAGCGGGAAGGGGTTAAATAGTGGTTGAGGCATGCAGTATGTACTGTTTGTTAAGGAGCGGGCGGCTGCTGGCGTCCTCAACAACCAATGAGTCACCAGCCCCCCTAAAACACCTTGACCCCAAATGATTGGGACAAGGGCCTCTTCCCCACAACCCTGGCCGGTGGTTGTGGGGGTCAGCAGGTGGGATGCTTATAAGAATATGAAAGCCCCATTTAACAAGGGGGCCCCAGAACCTACCCCCCCCCATATGAATGATTAGGGGTACATGTTACCTCTTCTCATTCACAAAAAAAAGTGTATTGACCCTACCCCTGGTGATGTCATCATGCCCTAGTTGATGTCACAAAGGGCGTGATCACCTGTGACATCACTGGGTGGCCGGCCCCTTAATTATTTACAAACTGTCAGGGGGTGGAGCAGTCAGATGGTGGGAGCCTTAGTCAGGAGCGGAGACTTTTTCTTTTTTCGGGTAGGCAGTGATCGATGATGGATCTACACTGGAGAACATTTTTCTTATTTTTGTTTTTTAAACCTCCCTGGCAGTAATCCCGACTGTAGCTCAGGGTTAACTTTCAGTAACAGAAGCTATAACCCCAAGCAACACTCAGGATTACACTGCAGCGATCCCTCATGCGCTTACCTTGTCCTGCGGTCCCGCGATGTCCTCCTGCTGCGTCTCCGGCCATGTCCTCCGGCTGATGCCGGCATCCGTCTTCCGGGTTCCGTTCTCTGCGAGCGTCGGGACATATGGGGGTGGAACCGGCGAGAAATTTAAAAAAGTTACAATGTGACACAAACACAATAAATTGTAATATATTAGTATTACATTACTGTATCAGTCCATTTCACCTCAGATTTGTCCCTAGTGCTTTGTCCAGTGCCCTGATTGCAACTTGACCGTTCTTTCTGCCATGGCATGCAAAAAGTGTCCCTGTATGCCAAAAGTGGTTTTAGACCAGCTAGAAGACAGCAACAGTGAATCAGAATCACTTGCAGAATTGAGCGACAGTGATTCATGGGGAAATTCGTCATCAGACACTGAAAGTGACGACAGTGGCAATTCTGTGACTGAGCTAAGTGATCTGCGAACTTGGTGCTCTATTGACAGTGGTACGGATCAGGCAGCACCCCCAAGATTCCCATTTTCTGGAGCATGAATGAGGGTAGACGTTTAACATGACAACCCCTTGGCATACTTACAATTGTTTCTGACCGATGAGGTTATTGAAAAATTGTTACTGAGACAAACCGGTACCAAGAGCAACAATTGGCTACTCTGCGTCTGAGGTTTTCAAGAAGCAGAAAGTAGGAAGCAGTGACCAAAGATGACATTTGGAATTTTCTCGGCCTAATAACACTTCAGGGAGTGGTGGGGAAACCCCTGCAGAAGTGGTATTGGACAACCAATAAATTACTTGCCACTCCATTCTTTGGCACGGTCATATCAGAGTACAGATTTTCCCTGATCATGAAATATTTATACTTTGAAAACAATGAAGAATTTGACGAAATTACTCATCCTGCACCAAAACTAAAGAAAATTTGGGAAGTATCTCAAATGATTCTAAAGAATTTCCAGTGGAACTATGTGCCAGAAAGAGATCAGCATAGATGAAAGTCTAATAACCTACAAGGCTCAGCTGGGTGCAATACATTGCATCAAAGAGAGCATGATTTGATGTTAAATCCTACATGCTATGCGAATTGTCAACTGGCTACATTTGGAATTCAGTGATATACACTGGAAAAAGAACTAAATTCAATACAAAATACAAAATCCAATTTCACTAAATGAGCCATTGCTAAATCAGGGCTATTATGTAACAACCGATAACTTTTATACGTCTCTTGAACTTTGAGTTTCTTCTACAAATCAAAACCGATGCCCGTGGAACTGTTAGGGCTAACCGGCGCAACATGCCGCCAATGTTTGGCAATAAGAAGCTGAAGACTGGAAAAATAGTTGCCTGGCAGAAAGGCAACATGATGGCACTGTGATGGCGTGACAAGAAAGATGTGTGCCTAATGAGTACGATTCATAATACCTCCACTGTTATGGTACGCACAAAAGGTGGGACAGAAATCACGAAGCCACAAGTAGTGATAGACTACAATAACACCATGGGAGGTGTTGACAGAGCTGACCAAGCAATGACATTCTACTCAGCAATGAGGAAACAGCAAAGAAAGTACTACAAGAAGATCTTCAGGCATCTTCTTGAGCAATGCTTGTAGAATGCCTACATTCTGCTAAAAAAAATAGGGACAAGCCTCGGATTCATTCAGACTTCATTTGGAAAATTGCCAAACGTATCGTTGTAAACCAGCAAACACCATCAACGGCTGTGAATAGAAGTGGTCATGCTGTTGACATTTTCAACCCAAAACGCCTGACTGGTCGATATTTCATGGACTACATCCCGCCAACCGAGAAAAAGTCAGCACCTACTAGGATGTGCGTGGTTTGTTGCTCAAAGCGAGATGACAGTGGAAGGAAAATCAGAAAGGAAACCAGATTCCATTGTCCTGATTGTGATGTTGGACTTTGTGCAGTTCGGTGTTTCAAAATTTTTCATACCTGGGAGGTTTACTAAACCACTATGTAGTGTCTAGTAATACTGCACCCTTGTTTGGACAAATGACAATGTTTTTGGCTTGATTACATTATTGAATTAAATTTATTATTATTATAATATTATTTTTTATAATTATTATATTATAATTTATGATTTCGTGTTTCAAACTTTATCATACCTGGGATGTTTACTACACTCTTGTTTGGACAGATTTAAGTGAGTTATTCCTAAACCTACAATATAAATGTGACAGGAGTCACTTTGGGTGGGGTGCCCATGGAACACGGCTTACTTTGGAGAGGTGGGGAGACCCTTGTCTCAGCTCCCCATATCCCTATTATGTGTAAGTCACCCTGTGCCTGTTAGAGGTGCAGGGTGATATGTCCTGATATTGTGTAGATATGTCTAGGAGATGGTGGGGTGGGGGGTTGTTGATTGTTTAATGCCATGTGGTTGCATCCCATTGTTCTATTGTGTGTCTTGCTTGGGGGCAAACTATTATGGGATGTATGTGTTTGTGTATTGGCTTGGTGGGGGGTGTCTGCTGATGTGTCTCTTGTTGCTAGATGTGGTTTGCCCCCACCCTGTGTCATTATGCAGGGAGGGGGGAATTGTTCCCTTGAATGTACTGTATATATCTTGTATCTGTGTTAAAATAAAGGAGTCTATTTCCTTATTTCCTTCAAGACTGGTGTCGTCTTGTCTGGTATGGTCAGCGGTGGTGTCCGTGGTCGGTGTTCAGACAGGGAAGCTGGAGTTTAACGGAAATACCCAAGTGCAGTTGGGGTCCGGTTCCGTCTCAATAAAACAACAAATTTCCATGCAAAACAATGTACTGCTTTGGATTAAAAAATACTGACATAATCAGACCACCAGGGAGGTTAATAAAAGACTTGTCAAAAACTGCCATCTGTGTTGTTTTACATTAAACTTCTTTTTGGTAAATGTCCCAAATCCCTACCCCACTCTCCCCCATGTTGAGGGCATGTGGCCTGGTATGGTTCAGTATAAGGGTTTGGCATGGATTTGGGGTGAGGCCACCACGCCTTTTTAAAAAAAAATTGGTGTGGGGGTTCCCCTCAAAATGCATACTAGAGCCGGAGGGCTTGGTATGAATTGGGGTGCCCCATGCTGTTTTTTTTTTTTTAATTAATTTTTAATTGCTGGCAATTTTCTTTTTACATTCGGGGAACCTGCTGACAGCTGATGACTCGTTATATTACCGCATGTTTTCAAAACTGAAATACTGCGTTACTAACTCATGTGGTATTTTAGTAGCATTTTTTAGTGAATGCCAACATTTTTACTAAAAAACACACTGTGCAGTATCTTATCCCCATAGTTCCCGTTGAATTGTTTGGGACATTTTGCAAATATGTTTTTCTTCTCTTCTCTTTACTGAGAGGAACTTCCATTGCTCTGATGTCAGAAAACTGGAAACGACAAGGATTTCTTCACTTCTGGTTTTGATTTGTTTACTGGCGTTAACAGCTTGTAAAGCATCTGATCTAACTGATTTCAGTTTGGTCAGATGCTTTGGAGACCACAGGAGAGATATGGGGTCAAATATATCCCAGATCTTTCCATAAAGAGGACCTGTCACAGCCCATGTTATCACAAGGGATGCTGTAATGATACAATGTAAAATAATGAATTGAAATACAATAAAAACATTTTTTTAAAGTGTTCCCATCCCCCTTTACTTATGTGCAAATGCGAACATGCCTGTAGGTCATCCACAAATATGTAAAGGCAATCACACCATACATGTGAATAATCACAAACATCAGAGTGGGAGCAATAATTCAAGTGCCAGACTTCCTGTGTAACTTTAAACTGGTAATCTGTAAAGGCTTTTAAAATATCGCCTAGGAATATTTTTTGGTACAGTGGTTTGTCGCAGTTCCATGGGCATATGCAGTTTTAAAGCATAACATGTTAGGTATCTATTTACTCAGTGTAACACTATCTTTTATATTTTATTCTACAGGGCGTCAGCTTAAAAATATATATAATCTTTGGGGGTACTAAGTAATTATCTAGTACAAAATGCAGATTTTTACATGTATGTGAGAAATGTCAGAATTGGCCCTGTTTTGAAGTGGTTAATTATTTACCTTAGGCTCTTGATGTTCTGTAGAGCTGGTATAAGTTTCTTCAATCCTTCGCATTGAATATTGCAAGAACTTAGATTTACTTCTTCTGTCTCTTTGCAGGCCTGTAGGATAAAAGACTGAATAGAACAGTCCAGGGGGCTGAGGGGGACAACGGAAAAGTCATGTTTCTTTGATCCAATACACTGTGACACCAGCTTCTTATTCCTGCTTTCATGGAGATAGTAGAATCCATTAAGAAGTTCTCTCCTCTCTCTTGCATATTCATTTGGTCTTTGCTGTGTTATTTTCCTCTGGATCCAGTTGATGATATGTCTGGAAGCCTGAGTAGGCAATTCCCCCACATGAGACTTTAACATGGATCTAGTAGAAGAGTCTGAGAGACCACAGAGGAAACGGAGAAATATTTCAGCACGACCATCATTGTAAGATTCAGCCTTATCAAGTGTTTCCTGTAATCTGTCAGGATCATAGTTCATAAAATGGGCTAAAGCAGCAAAAAAATCTTGAAGTTTAAGATGTAAGAAGGTGTAATCCACATCAGGAGGCTGACCAGATTCTAACATGAAACATGAAAAGAGATGTTCATCATTTCTCACACTGAATGACTCCAGATGTCGCTCATCAAATACAATCATGTGATTCATGACTCCATGTTCTGCCATCCACCCAATAGATGCCAGAAGTTCCCGAGCAGTGGGGCCGCCATCTTTATTCTGGTGGTGATTGGCTAGAATGTTGGAGACAAAGGTCACAAAGAGTTGTGTCACTGTTTTGGGCAATGATATCATCACTTGATCAGCATTTGTTGGTTGAGCTCTGAAGCACATTGATAACACTGTACAGATGATCCAGCAGTATGATGGGATATAACAGAAAGTGTACAGCGTGTCATTCTCCTGCACATAATGGAAAGCCTTTTCTGATAGTTCATCATTTCCAAAGAAATTTTTAAAGTAGATCCGTTTGTCTTCATGGAGAAATCCCATGATCTCAGCTATTCTCTGGAAAACACCAGTATCAACTGATGCCAGTCTCATTGGGCGGCTGGTCATCAGTACAGAACAACCCTTAAGAAGACTCTGCCTCACCAAACTTACCACAATCTCACCACAATCTGTTTTCTGTTTTTGATTGGACAGATTACTTAATCTGAAATTAATATGGTGAATACTTTCATCTAAACCATCAAATATAAACAGAATTATCTCTGGATTTTGTAAAATATTTTCAATCTGACTCTCCAGATGTGGATATTGTTGAAGAATCATCTCCGTCAAGCTGACCTCTCCCAGTCTATTCAGATATCGGAAACTGAAGAAGAAAACAAAAGCAAATCTCTGGTAGTGTTTTCCAGTCACCCACTCATTGACAAACTTCTGCAATAGTGTGGTCTTTCCTATTCCTGGCACTCCACTCACCATTACTGCCTGTGGTACACATTGTGAATGACTGTTCCATCGGAACAGCCTGTTGGGGAAAATATGTTCCAGTCTAGTTTGTGTTTCCTCTGAGCATTGCTCATGTTTTACCCCAGCCTGTATTAACTCGTTCTGGGAATGCTGCCTGAACTGATTAGTAGAGACAACAATCAGTTTCACATAACGTTCATTGATGGGGAATCTTTGGGGCTCCAGAGTAGTTCCGGGGGGTTTATGCTCCACTAGAGACTCAGTCTTCTCCATCAGATGTTGTTTGTGCTTTTCTTGAATATCTGTGTATACAATGGAAAATATTTATGAGGCAGGTTAAAAAAAAAAAAAAGGTAAAAATGTGGAGCTTGACATTAATATTTGTCATGGTCCAACCATGAATGAGTTAAGTCATACACTATTATTATTATTATACAGTATTTATAAAGCGCCAATAGTTCGCTCAGTGCTGTACATTACAAAGGGGGACAGAACATGTGATAGAACAATACCAATACAATGCAAAACATGAGAGGATTGAGGGCCCTGCTCTTTCGAGCTTACAATCTAGGAGGGAGGGGATAGTGGTACAGGAGGAGATAGCTGTGGGGGATGGAGTGGTAGGAAGAGTGGAGGAGGTCGGCAAGTTAGCAGGGGGTGGGGTAGGCTTCCCTGAAGAGATGGGTTTTCAGGGTGCGCCTAAAGGAGAGGAGAGTAGGTGATAATCTGATGGGTTGGGGCAGGGAGTTCCAGAGGATGGGTGACACCCTGGAGAAGTCCTGGAGGCGGGCATGGGAGGAGGAGACCAGGGAACTAGAGAGAAGGAGGTCTTGTGAGCAGCGGAGTGTGCGTGCTGGGTGGTACTTGGATATTAGGTCAGTGATGTAGTTTGGGGCGGTATGGTGGACAGCTTTGTACATCAGTATTTTGAATTTGATCCGTTGCGCAATCGGAAGCCAGTGGAGGGATTGGCAGAGGGGGGTGGCGGAAACGGAGCGGTGGGAAAGGTGAATGAGTCTGGCAGCCGTATTCAGGATCGACTGAAGCGGGGATGGCCAGCAGCGAGGCAGGCCAGTGAGGAGGAGAGTTGCAGTAGTTGAGTCGTGATATGATGAGGGAGTGGATGAGCTGTTTAGTGTTTTCTGGGGTTAGGAATGTGCGTATTTTGGTGATGTTGTGGAGGTGGAGTCTGCACGAGTTTGTTAAAGATTGGACTTGGGGCTGGAAGGATAGGTTGGAGTCCAGAATGACACCAAGTACTCTGGCCTGCGGGGCGGGTTTGATGGTGGCGTTGTTGGATGTGATGGAGAAGTCAATGGGCGGTGGTGTCCGGGCTGGGGGGAAGACAAGAAACTCTGTTTTGGAGAGGTTCAGTTTAAGGAAGTGGAGCGACATCCAGTCTGATATGTCGCTCAGTAGGTGTGTGATTCGGGCGGAGACCAAGGGGGTGAGGTGGGGGGTTGAGAGATAGATTTGTGTGTCGTCGGCATAGAGTTGGTAGTTGAAGCTGTGAGAGTGTATGAGTTGACCAAGGGAGGAGGTGTAGATGGAGAAGAGAAGGGGCCCAAGGACAGAGCCTTGAGGGACCCCAACAGAGAGGGGGAGTGAGGGGGGAGGTGGTAGCATTATAGGTAACGCTGAAGGAGCGTTGTGACAGGTAGGATGAGAGCCAGGAGAGAGCAGAATCTCTGAGTCCGAGGGAGTGTCGTTTTTTGAGGAGGAGGGGGTGGTCGACTGTGTTGAAGGCCGCAGAGAGGTCAAGGAGTAGGAGCACTGAATAGTGGCCATTAGCTTTGGCGGTTAGAAGGTCATTGGAGAGTTTGAGTAGGGTGGTTTCGGTGGAGTGTAGGGGACGGAAGCCAGACTGTAGGGATCGAGGAGGTGGTTGTCGTTGAGGTGAGAGCATAGGCGGGTGTAGACGAGGCGCTCGAGGAGTTTAGATGTAAATGGGAGCAGGGAGATGGGTCTGAGGTTGTTCGGGTCATTGGGGTCCAGGGAGGGCTTTTTAAGTATGGGGGGGTGATGTGTGCATGTTTCAGAGGGGAGGGGAAAGTGCCTGAGGAGAGGGAGAGATCCAATGCATATCTTAACACTTCAGTACAGCAGAGGTAGAGCTTGGTTCAAATTAGATAAGACTCGGGGTCCATATCTACCAAACTGTAAAGAATTATAATAGTTCCTGAGACAAATGTGTGTATTTAAATTCAGGGCTATAATTCTGGAGAATGTAATAATTCATAACTCCTACACCTTGGTGTGCACAGTTCTAAAACTTCCTGCAAATGTCTGGTTGTGTGAAGAATGCAACTGCCAGCCTCTCCTGTCTTGTTGCATAGGCAAACAAGGTGGTAACTTTGGACCCAATATATATTTTAGATGTAGGATCTATTTTTAAATTTTTTAAAAACCGTTTACTTATATTCTTACTTCTTGTAACTTTTAATACATATGTAATGCTTGCTACTAGGGAGCTTAAAGGATAAGTTCACCTTTTATAACATGTTACATGTTACACCCATATTCAGTCTCTTCCCCGCTAGCTGTCACAATTTTACAGAAAACATGGCCGAGAGGGGCTTCGCCCACCCAGCCGCTTTACTACATTATGCTGTGAATAAAAACTACAAGTCCTGGCAGCCTTTGTGGCTGTCAGCTTGTAGTTTTCAATGAACTACTATGGTGCTGTGGAACCTTCATTGAGCCTTCCTGTCAGAAAGTATCTGCTTGCCCATATGGGATGTACGAGCAAGCAGATATACAGACAGGTCAGGGGAATACCTGCATAGCACTAAGCAATCTGTTGGTGAAACGCTTTAGAGGCTCCACAAGCAAAAAATAATAAATGCACAGTTTTTACCTGGAAAAAAATCTGAATTTATTATTTTTTATTAAAATGTGAACTTTTTCTTTAAAAAAAAACTAATACTGATAGTTCCAAAGAACAAGAAAATCTCAAAAGACAGTGATCAGATATTTGGAGAGAGGGAGGGAAGAGAGGGAGGGGCAAAGAGAGAGGGAGAGAGAGAGAGAGAGAGAGAGAACTAGGGCTTATTTAGATGGGACTAAAGTAACCTCACAGTATGTCTTTGGAGTGTGGGAAAAAGTCCATGCAAGCACAGGGAGAACATGCAAATAGCATGCAGGTAGTGCACTGCTTGGCATTTGAACTGAAGAACTTAGTGCTGTAAGGCAGGAGTGCTAACTACTAAGCCGCTATGTGTTCCATCCGATATCCTACATGTTTTATTTACCTTTCAGCTCCGGATTCAGGGAGTGTCCAAATTCATCCAGCAGAATCTGATTCACTAGACGCTCATCTATTGTAAGAAATATGATCACAGGTATGAATAGTATGAAACTGACCTTTCACATACACATTACTACACATTAAAAATATATCTCAACACCAGGATATAACCAGTGGTGTGGCATGGGCAGGGACGCAGTAAAAGTTGCTTTGGGTCAAAATTCTTAGGGATGCGAAAATTTCAAAACAAAACAAAGTAGTTATAATAAAAAGTAGCGTGTCCCCAGAGACCTTTATTGGGGTACTGCTGTTACCTGCCAATGGTGTGCTCTTACTAACACAGCCTTGTACACTGAGTGGTGGCCAATAGAGTGACATGTCTAGGAGTGTCTGACTTGGAACTGCGATGGAGCACAGTAAAGAGGGCATGAGTACAGCATGCAGCTAGTTGGCAACTGGCTGCCGCCATATACGTTAGTTACCTCCAAGAAGGGCATGAGTACAGCATGCAGCTAGTTGGCAACTGACTGCCACCATATATGTTAGTTCCTCCAAGATAAGGATTGTGGCATGTACCCTGGATCAATGTGAGGTCACCCTGGGCTCCACTACTACCCCACTGCCTCCCAGTTCCCTGACTATGGGGCGATATCAGGAACTTATCTAGAGTCTGCAGCACCTTTCTGGATCCTCACCCTGAATCATATCTTATGGGCCCCAGGGATGACTGGTGCCATACTACCTACACATGCAGACATACTCCCATCAACCCTTTATCAGGAGGCAGCCTGGGCTATGGCTCGGTTCCTGACTACCCAACTGGACAGGGCCAAGGGCCATCCTGTATTGGAGTGCTTCTGGCTGGGCATCAGCCTCCTCCATTCTCTCCAGGGGTAGCAATGGGCCACAAGAGGCACTACTACAAGTGGATGAGAAAGCAGGGCACACAGGAAAGCTCAGGTAAGGGACAGATGTACCTATGTAATATACTGTGTGTGTAGATATATATATATACACACAGTATATATCTACACATACACACAGTATATACCCCAATCAACCATAACTTTATGGCCACCCACCTAATATTGAGTAGGTCCACCTATTGCCACCAGAAAAACCCTGATCTGTTGATGTATGGATGCCACTAGAACTCTGAAGTTATGCTGTAGTATCTGGCACTACTCCATCAGTAGTAGAAGATCCTTTAACTCCTGTAAAGGAGTTGCCCCAATGGATAAGACTTTTTTTTCCAGCACATTCCAAGATACTCGGTTGGATAGAATTATGGAGAATGTAGAAGAAAAGTCCAAAATTGAAACTAGTTATTATCTTTCTCAAACCATTCATGAACCATTTTTGCAGTGTGGCAGGGCACGTTATCCTGCCATCACTAAATACTGCTTCCATGAAAAATTGTACTTGATCTTCAACAGTCCTTAGGTAGGTGGCACGTGTCAAGTAACATCCACATGAATGGCAGGACCAAAGGTTTCCCAGTAGAACATTGCCCAAAATATCACACTGCCTTTTCCAGCTTGCCTTATTCCCATACTGCATCCTGGTGCCATCTCTTCCCCAAGTAAGTGATGCACACACAACCAGCCATCTACATGATGTAAAAGAAAAATGTGATTAAACAGACCAGGCTACCTTCTTCCATTGCTTCTTTGTCCAGTTCAGATGCTCATGCTCA